ATGTGGGGGCGTGTTAGAATGAGCCGTTTTAGGTAGGTGTGGTTGACTCTTAACTTTTAGTTAGGCCTTTAGGTCTTTAGGCCTACTTATTTGCATTTATTATGGTGTAATTAATACACTTCGTATCAATCCATGTTCATTTTTACCGTGAGCAATGCGCTGTCACTTTAATTCAGTGTGTGCAGCACAACAAAAATAGACTCGGTGCGGAAATACTTGGGAAACGATCACTGCGATGATAAACAAGAATAAAAAAAATTTATAAGTTTACATTCGTATGTATTTTTGTATGTATTGTATTTATTTTTAATATCAATGCTGTTTAAGCCAATATATCACCATCCCCTGACCATTATAATGTGACAAATTCATTAAAGAATACCTTATTTAATTCTGACATAATAATCCACCACGAGTTTTCCCTCTGTAAATGAGCCGTTTTAGGTAGGTGTGGTTGACTCTTAACTTTTAGTTAGGCCTTTAGGTCTTTAGGCCTACTTATTTGCATTTATTATGGTGTAATTAATACACTTCGTATCAATCCATGTTCATTTTTACCGTGAGCAATGCGCTGTCACTTTAATTCAGTGTGTGCAGCACAACAAAAATAGACTCGGTGCGGAAATACTTGGGAAACGATCACTGCGATGATAAACAAGAATAAAAAAAATTTATAAGTTTACATTCGTATGTATTTTTGTATGTATTGTATTTATTTTTAATATCAATGCTTTTTAAGCCAATATATCACCATCCCCTGACCATTATAATGTGACAAATTCATTAAAGAATACCTTATTTAATTCTGACATAATAATCCACCACGAGTTTTCCCTCTGTAAAATTAGGTGTCGGCAACAGCTAACAACGTTGATCATTGATAGCTCATTTAAAGGTAATGTCACCACCAATAATTTGGACTAATTTGGCCAGTCACGCTAAATGGAGTCGAGGAGTCGATTCCATTGACTCCAATGGTGGGAGTCGGAGTCGACTCCGAAAAACCTGGGCTGCGTTCAGCCCCGACAAAACGGTGCAAAACGTTTTTTAAATGGAAACGGTGGTGCGTTGAACACTCTGTTCTGATGACGCAAGAGTTGCAGCTATGGCAGCTGAGAAGGCCATTCTTTGTGTTCTTTTTGAAGAATTTTCGGAGCCTGATGAAATCGGTATAAATACGTGTTTAATACTGCAAAATACGCTCGATGTAACAGTCACTGCCCTTGCCGTTCTTATGTTAAAAGGTAGTAGGCTATCAAAATTTTAAATGAAAACTTACCATTGCCTGAAACAGCTGTATCGTGCCTTTTTTTTTGCATTTACGTTACAAGTAACCCTGCTGGTCATAAAAAATAACTTTTTCTAACTCCACGAGTGCCATCGGTTATGTTTATCTAAAAGTGTAGGGTACTTTTCCTTGCTTTACCCCTATAGCTAAAAGTACTTTAATTAGCCTATATGCATTTATGGTGCAATTAATACATTTTGTATCAATCCATGTAAATTTTTTTAAAGTGAACAATGCCCTGTAACTTTAATTCAGCGTGTGCAGCACAACAAAAATAGACTCGGTGCGGAAATACTTGGGAAACGATCACTGCGATGATAAACAAGAATAAAAAAAATTTATAAGTTTACATTCGTATGTATTTTTGTATGTATTGTATTTATTTTTAATATCAATGCTGTTTAAGCCAATATATCACCATCCCCTGACCATTATAATGTGACAAATTCATTAAAGAATACCTTATTTAAATCTGACATAATAATCCACCACGAGTTTTCCCTCTGTAAAATTAGGTGTCGGCAACAGCTAACAACGTTGATCATTGATAGCTCATTTAAAGGTAATGTCACCACCAATAAATTGGACTAATTTGGACAACACACCCACCAAACAAGACAAAACGCATCTCAAACCCCATTGCACACCGTTTCCAGGAAACATGTCGTTCAACCCGGAAACCGGAGCAAAACGTTGCGCACCGGTTTGAGCTTGAACTTGCCCCTGGAATCGAACACCCCAACGCGAGCGCCACTTCAACGCCCCCACCAGCATCCAATCACGATACGGTTACATTTAAATTGATACGTTCGCAAGCCAATGGGAGTGTGCGTTAAGACAACGAGCGCGAACGTTCTGCCAATGAGAGCGCGCGTTATTCAGGAGGCTGAATTTCCGGGCGGTAGTATAAACTGAGGCCTGACGCGTGCGGTTTGAGTCAGCATCTGCGTTCGTGTATTCAGTTTCCTTACGCACCATCACCTAAAGGTAACTATAATGTAGTTGATGTTTAGATGTGGACCTTTTTCTTAGTAACGTAATTGTTCATGTAACGTTATATACCGTCGTGGGTTTTATTCAACAGGGAAGTTTCGTGTGTGATCGGAGCGTTGTGTCATTGGGCGCGTTAGCGGTGTATGCTAACCGAAGCGCGCGTTTATTTTCTGATAAATAGTATTTACACTGTTTCGTGCTGTTGGTGATGGCAAGCCTCGTGGAAACACAAGCCCGCGTGGAGTTTTATTCGTGTGTGTGTTTTTTCTATTTTAGTATTTTGCGTCATGTTTATCGGTCGCTAAACGCCGGTCTATTGTTGCATTGGTCCTACAACTAGACGAATTTCTCTTTTGCTGACCAATCTCGGATTGCGTTTATTGGTAACGCAAAATGTCGTGTGTTTGTGTAGAAAATGTTATGTTAGACGTTCGTTGCGTTGACTTGAGAGCCTCATTGGGATGTTTGTGATGGAGGCCCATATAAACCTTGTCCAGTTTCACTGCCTAGTAACAAAAGGTACCACGGTATTACCGTGTTTCTTGTGGACTGCTTTGGCTTTTTGTATTTGTACGTACTTATTTGTTATAGTCAGTGTTGGGGAGTAGGCTAACTAGTTACTGGAAGTACGTAATTTAATTCCAAAATAAATGTAACTAATCTGTTAAAAAGATGTAATTTAAATTAGGTACTTATGGAAATGTTAACGATCACAAAGGGGGTTACATCTGAATATTTTCACTCACAATTAATTGATTTCTTTCCCAAATTGCTTTGACTGCTCTAAAATATGAGACCGCAATGTTTCAGGAGTTTAGTACACATGCTTGTTCGATAACGGTTTTATTTACTACTTGGGTTTATGTATATGCTTCTATTTATTTTTAAGATTAACTGTTTTTTTTTTTCCCAAGGCATTGTTAGATGGTAAATTCTTGTAAATTTGTGACTCTCGAAAGAGTCAATGTTAATCAGACTGGTTTTTGGGTTTGTTTACATGGTTTCTGTCCTGTGTGGGTTTAATTTCATGGCGTAGATATCAACTTGGTCTTTCTGAATGGTGGTCCCTCGTGGCTCGCTCCATTGAAACATGAATGTGCGAGTCGTCTGAAGGTGTGATTTAATTGCTCTTTCTCGCTCCTTTTGTTTCCAGAATGGCTGAGAATGACGTTGACAACGAGCTGCTGGATTATGAAGAGGACGAGGAGCCTCAAGGAGCCCCGGAGAGCGCCGCTCCAGTGGGCAAGAAGGAGGTGAAGGGCTCTTACGTGTCCATCCACAGCTCGGGCTTCAGAGACTTTCTGCTCAAGCCGGAGCTGCTGAGGGCCATCGTGGACTGCGGTTTTGAGCATCCGTCTGAAGGTAAGAGACGCTGAGATGCTGGTTCTCCTAATGTAACTATTTATCTTGATTAGCATCTTAAGTAAACTTCCCGTGTGTGTTTTTAGTGCAGCACGAGTGCATCCCGCAGGCCATCCTCGGCATGGATATCCTGTGTCAGGCCAAGTCTGGTATGGGGAAGACAGCCGTGTTTGTGCTCGCTACCCTACAGCAGATCGAGCCGGTGGATGGACAGGTTAGTACATCAGTTTTGGTTTGTGGTGAAACCATTAGAGCATTGGAATTACTTAACTCAGGGTTTCCCAAACTGGAGTTTGAGAGTTGATGAGAGAAGCTAGTAATTAATTCATAATGTAAAATCTTAAAATAAAAGATTTTGACATCTGATGTGAACCATGCGACTGTTTAATTGTTGAAATGTTAATAAAGGAATTGTTTTAAAATAAAATGCCTGCTAAAAAGATTACTTGTTTTGTTTACGTGCATGTCATGTGACCATTAGCCAACAGAACCATGAATATGTGAAATGTTTAAATATTTAATCATAATGTGGAATTTTTTTTAAAAAACGAAACGATGAAAATAAATGCTTTAAAGATTAAGTTGTTTACAGTTATGTGACCCATTAATCCACATTAGTACCATGAGTGTGCGAATAGTGTTAAATTATTTAAATCATAAAATTAAAAATGAATAAATCTAAAACAATCGAAATAAAACTTGCTATTAAAGATGAAATACTTTAAAACGCTTAAGATTACTAGGATTAAGTTATTTATCTGCGACGGTTAATCAACATTTAGAAAACTGAAAATGTTGAGTTATTTTAATAAATTTCATAATGTTAAATTAATTTGTTTTTATCTGATTTTCAGTTTAAAACAATCTAAATAAGACTTAAAGATTAAACCTTTTATTTGTGCATGTCTGGTGAACCTTATAAATTCATAAAACAATTTATTCGTTTTAAATGTTGCATTATGATATTTTAATTTAACAGCACAATCAAAAAAGATTAACGTATATCTGTTTAAAAAAAAAAAACGTGATGTGACGTGTGGCCAAGTATGGTGACCCGTACTTGGAATTAGTGCTCTGCATTTAACCCATCCAAAGTGCGCACACACACAGCAGTGAACACACACACACCGTGAACACACACCCGGAGCAGTGGGCAGCCATTTATGCTGCGGCGCCCGGGGAGCGGTTGGGGGTTCGGTGCCTTGCTCAAGGGCACCTCAGTCATGGTATTGAAGGTGGGAGAGAGCGCTGTACATTCACTCCCCCCACCTACAATCCCTGCCGGTACGAGACTTGAACCCGCAACCTTTGGGAGTCCGACTCTCTAACCATTAGGCCACGACTTCCCCAATCTGCATCTCATGCTACCAGTAATCAGAACCAGGAATGTTTTGTTTTATTATTGCAATGTTATTTAAATCGTTATGTAAAATTGCAATAAACTGTTTTGGAATAAGTATTTTAAAATAACTTGACTCCATTTCTGTCACTGATGGAGTTTGGTTCCTTGCCACTGTCTCCTTTGGCTTGCTTTAGTTGGTGACACAATTTCTGGCAACATTGTTGACTTGTCTTGACACTATTTGAAGAGAATGATGAACTGAAAAACTGACTCTTCTCTATTGTCCTCTTGCATTATAAACGCACGTTTTTCCGGTTTAACACTGTAAAGCTGTTTTGACACAATCTGTATTGTATAAAGCTCTATTTGAATAAAGCTGACGTGACTTGAGAAGATAATTATTACACTTACATAATAATAGTTGGTTTATCTGCAAGTTCATGGTTCTTTGTTGGTTAATGGTTAGGTTACATGTAAATATTAGATTATTCCAATATTAACTTAAAAATATTGTAAGTGTTGACAAGTTTTTTTTTTTGTTTGTTTTTTTAACACCTTGGCACATTTTAGTTTGTGATGGGTTATCAAGCAGTGGCATAATTGTTTCTGATCTGTAACATGCAAAACTTAAGTTTGTTGAAGATTAAGTTGACTGTTTTCCGGTGATTCAGGTGTCGGTGCTGGTCATGTGTCACACTCGTGAGCTGGCGTTTCAGATCAGTAAGGAGTACGAGCGCTTCTCCAAGTACATGCCCACGGTGAAGGTGGCAGTGTTCTTCGGCGGCATGTCCATAAAGAAGGACGAGGATGTCCTGAAGAAGAGCTGCCCTCACATCGTGGTCGGCACGCCGGGACGAATCCTCGCCCTGGTCCGAAACAAAACCCTCAACCTGAAGAACGTCAAGCACTTCGTTCTGGACGAGTGTGACAAGATGCTGGAGCAGCTGGGTGAGCGTTTGCCCAAAAACTGTTCTGAACGGTGTCGAGCCGAACCTGTGACGCTTCATATGACGCTTAAGTTTGTTTCTCTGTCAGATATGAGACGTGACGTTCAGGACATCTTCAGACTGACCCCTCATGAGAAGCAGTGCATGATGTTCAGCGCCACCCTCAGCAAAGAGATTCGGCCCGTCTGCCGCAAGTTCATGCAGGACGTGAGTAACGTCTGTTAAGACGCATTGATGTTACTATTTGTGACCCTGAACCACAAAACCAGTCATAAGGGTCAATTTTTTTTTTTAATTGAGATTTATACATCATCTGAAAGTTGAATAAATAAGCTTTCCATTGATGTATGGTAGGATAGGACAATATTTGGCCGAGATGCAACTATCTGAAAATCTGGAATCTGAGGGTGCAAAAAAATCGAAATTATTGAGAATCGCCTTTAAAGTTGTCCAAATGAAGTTCTTAGCAATGCATATTACTAATCAAAAATAGTTTTACATTTACGGTAGGAAATTTACAAAATATCTTCATGGAACATGATCTTTATTAATGATTTTTGGCTTAAAAGAAAAATCTATAATTTTGACCCATACAATGTTTTTTTGGCTATTGCAACAAATATACCTGTGCTACTTATGACTGCTTTTGTGCTCCAGGGAGAGATATATATATATATATATATCTCTCTTTCAGAAAACTTTACTTTTAGAAAACGTTCGTTTTTTTCAATATTTATATAGCTTACATTTAGGTTGCTTCAGTAATTCAACTTAAACTTCATAAAGTTACAAACTAATAATATATCAATTATATGAATCCTATTCTGAAGTGTTGTTTTAGTATGCATAAAACAGCACAGTGGAAACATGGCAGTTTTATGGAAATTATCAGACGCCTATTAAGCCATTTGAGCATTTATAAGTAAAATTGTCAGGCTGTAATTGTAGCTTTATTACCCAGCTGTATTAGTACTGATGCTGATTTCTTAAGACTTAATCTAAAGCATGTAAAGCGTTCTGTCTGATGTGTTTGCGGTCTGTTTTCAGCCGATGGAGGTGTTTGTGGACGATGAGACGAAGCTGACTCTTCATGGTCTGCAGCAGTACTACTGCAAACTGAAGGACAGCGAGAAAAACCGCAAACTCTTCGACCTGCTCGACGTGCTGGAGTTCAACCAAGTGAGTTTAGCACTTAACGCTCATTTGAGTTTCCAAGGGCACTTGCAAATGAGGAATACAGCAAGCAAATATTTTGTTGCTCAAACCTGACCCCATTTCCTCCAATTTCAGTATGCTTTTTCTGTGCATTTGTTTGTCTTTCTCTGCCATATTTTCCCCTGTAGAATATTGTTTCTGTCAGAAGTGCTTGAGCTCTAATGCATGTTTCATGTTCTTGAGGGTAATTCTGCTGTTGTCCTGCAGGTGGTGATATTCGTTAAGTCTGTTCAGCGTTGTGTGGCGCTTTCACAGTTACTGGTGGAGCAGAACTTCCCTGCCATCGCCATCCACAGAGGAATGGCTCAGGAAGAGAGGTGTGTGTACTTGTTTCGGCTGAATGTACTGTTATGCAATGAAATATCATGACTGTTGACTAGTGAGGCCATAGTGTCGTTGCTAGTTAAAAAGACTCACAAATTGGCTAAATCATGTTTATATAAGTCTAGTGTCTTGCACGGTTTCTGTGAGGGTTTGTTTAGGGTTAGGAGATAGAATATAATTAGCTTGATATAAAAACAATGGAAGTCTACGAAATTAACTAACTAATAGTCAAAGACAAACATTAGCATTAGTGTTGGCATATGCTTTGGTTCCCTGGAGTTATTAAAAGAAATCAAGGATTACTTGTTCTTCGCTAAACCCCTTTGAGCTAATGTTTTTTTTGTAACTTTTAAAGTTAATGTCAGTTAATGGACTCGTGACATGCAAGTGGAATTGTGTGTGTGCAAGAAATTTTGTACAAAATGCTTTTCAAATTTCTTAGACAAGTGACATCAACATTGTGTATACTGAAAAGTTCTACTTTTTAAAACGTAAAAATACTATAATAAATGGTAAATGACATTTATAGGACATTACCGTAGGAAACATCTGTTTACTTGTATAAACAATGTTTTAACACCAGATGATCAAATGTCCATGGTTCAAATTTAGAGTTTCAGCCAACAAATAAATACAATCTCCCTTAAAGTTCAATGGAATTTCATTTATTTTTATCAGTTCAGGGAAACCCAGATTTAGTTACAATCCTTAAAGACATAAAAAGCATGAAATTGTATGTCCGTTTAATTCTTTTTCGCTATGTAACTATTGCTAACTCGCTAAGATTATAAAATTGGTGTTTTCCCATGAAGCTTTTTCTTTTCCAGCAACAATTCCTGTTATTACTCATACATTCGTGATTATCTCGTCAGCGTAGTTAACATGCTTGTTGCAATATTTGTGTCCTTAATCTAATTTGTGGAGCTCTTGAACATTTTCTATATCTTAAGATGAACCATTTGATCATTGAATATTTAATGCACAAAGCTGAGTCTCGTCTCGCCTCTACTCGCAGGTTGTCTCGGTATCAGCAGTTTAAAGACTTTCAGAGGAGGATCCTAGTGGCCACAAACCTTTTCGGGCGAGGAATGGATATCGAGAGGGTCAACATCGCCTTCAACTACGACATGCCAGAGGACTCCGACACGTATCTCCACAGGGTCTGTATCCATGCAGTCGCCACAAGCGTTTCAGATCTCTGGAGCGGCACATCTCACACGGTCTCGTCTTGTTCTCAGGTGGCTCGTGCGGGTCGCTTCGGCACCAAGGGTTTGGCCATCACGTTTGTGTCAGACGAGACTGACGCAAAGATCCTGAACGACGTGCAGGACCGATTCGAGGTCAACGTGGCCGAGTTACCAGAGGAGATCGACATTTCCACTTACAGTGAGTCTTGGCTCTTGTCTTATTATACCAGTCAAGCGTTGAGCATGAAGAAATAAACTGCTTCCAATATCTGCTTCCAAATTTAATGTAACCTGATCAGTGTGATGAGTTAATAACAGCAATGTTGGCGGATGCTAATGTGAGGCTAGTTAATTGTATATTTTGAGGTTATTAGCATTGGCTCTGTAAGTGGGTCGGTCAAATTTAAGCATTGCAGAGTTAAATTAGACCCTGAACTGAACGGATTCCCATTGATTTTCTTGTCAAATGTTTCAAACCCACCGTGACTGGTTAAATAGCAGTTGAAGTGACATTTGTCTCTTTCTCTGTGCAGTTGAACAGTCCAGATGAAGATCTTGACGTTTCCAGAATCGCAGATATTGGATCACGTTGGAGTGCCGAACCTCTGTTTTTAAAGCCTCCTTTTTACCTCAAACCCACAATTGTTTTTACTGCTTCTCTCGGAGAACCGGCCGAGTTGTCTGTTTTATGATTTTGTCCTAAAATCATGTTTTTGTTTTGGGTTTTAATGAGATTAAAACGTTTTATATACTACTCTTGACTGGCTGTGTTTGTCTTCTGAGAAGTGTCATGAAATGTATGAAAGTGGTTTTGTAATGGGTCTCCAAATGCTTCGTGTAATTGCTTACTCTGAAAGTCTTTCCAGATATTTGTCTTGTTAAACTCGCAGGCCAGTGTCATAACCTCCATCGTTTGAGGTTAACTGATTGAGACTTGTGTGGTTGCAAATTACTGAAATGTCAACCTAAAATAAAAAAAAAGTTTTGTAATGGGAAATGGACTTTTCTTATTTCCAAACAAATTCCTCTTTGTAATTAATGAAATGAATGTCCAGCCAGTAACTAATTGACTGGATGGCTCTTGAATTCATCTGTTTAAAGCAAAAAATAAAATTTTCTATTAATATTTAGATGTTCACCATATTATGGTGACCGTAATGCCGAGTTCACACGGCACGGTTTTCAAACTCGTCGGATCGCCGTTGTTTTCACACTGCGTGACTATCTGAGGTAGCAGTCAGTCGCTGCAGTGTTCACATTGCACGATGGATCGGCGACAGGGGGTTTCACACTGCATGACTTCACAATAGGAAGAATCGCCGACAGCTCTGTCTGGTCCGCAAACTACGTTTCACAACAAAACACGCGAGAAGTGATAAGGAAATAACGCGAGAACCCGCGTGCGTCAGACCGGAGTTCTCGCGAGCAAGACTAATTATTAAAATATATATATATATATATATAGCCCGCAAATTGTGAGCTGATTTCCAGTTACAAGGAGAAAAAGAAAAACAGATTATGCAGGAGGGAGATGCAGGGAACAGGGATTGGGTGTTCTGCAAAGAGAGTTGGAGGGAAATAATTTTGCAGTAACTTATGGTCTCAACTATGTTTGATTTCTTTATGCACCAAGAGCTTGTAACACTCCAAAGAGAAAGGAAAAAATTAAATTGCATCATATGACCCCTTTAAAAATAAAAAAAACGCACCTGGAGTCAATCGTTTTTACAAGCCAGTTTATTTGATGGATGTTGAGTGGTTGTCCTCTGTCTCAAGAGGTAAAACAAATGAGAGTAACTTATAATACAAGCCCATTTTAGACCAGACCCAAATCCAGATAAGTCTGGTTTTCAGCAGTATGAAAGTGTAGCATGATGAAGGTATTTATGAAACATTTAATCACATGGCTGCTAAATGTCATTTCCTGATAATATAATCCACTCAAGACTTTTAAAAGTCTGTACAAATTTTTTTTTCATAAAGCATACAAACATCAGCTATGATTAAATCAAATTGATTGCAATAATGCTTGACTGGTAATAAGAGAACATCTTAAAATTGTCACCTGCTAGATGATAAAACAGGTGAAGAAAATCCCACAGACGAACATCGGAGACCAGAAGATCGCGCCAGACGGGAGGAAAACGCTCACAGAACTACTCACAGGTATGTTTCCTGTTCGAAGACACAATTCTGCTTAATTACCATAGTATGATGCATTTTTGACGGAGAAAAAACTAACTAGGCAGTTGCGACCGTTGCGAACCAGTAGTGAGATGTTCGCGCCTCCGTCGTTTGAATCACGCTTGTTCAACTGTCGTTAATGACGTCACGCGCAGGTGGTGAAGTAATAAAAACATCCGCTAATTAATCGATTCGACAACGTAATTAGTGTCAGATTCTTATGGTTAATTAACTCGAAACAACAGAAAGCTGTTCATTTTTTAATCAAGTTTACATGCAGCATGTAATTGGCTGTTTATTCAGTCAGCAGCTTTCCACAACTTCCTCCGAATGACTGCTGTAACGGACATGGCATCTGAAATGTAATATGCAGAAATGCCGTTTTACTCAGTTGAGATTGAGAGATGGAACGAAACGTAACAAAATATACTAACACAATCATTCAATGACAACATGGCTTCTTCTATTCAAAATTAGTTTTTTTTTTTAGCCTGTTCAAACCCTCCCTGAGTCAGATGGTGTGACCTCCGTCAGTTCATCCACCAATGCCAGGCAGAAATGGAAACCGCTGCATCATAAAACACACAGACACCAGTGCCGTTTGCACCAGGCTCTGCCATCAAGTGGTAGATTACAGACCAGCGTTTGAAAGAACCGACCCACCCATTACTTTCAAATTACATGTTTACATCAGATGCTGGTGTTTTAAACATATTTTTATTGCAAACCAAAGGGTTACTGGGTTTCTTTCTGCCCCCAAAGAAGAAGATTGTAATTAGCCGGGAGCAGCAGCACTTGGCAAATATCGCTTGGTGAGTCGACGGAGTCATGGGCTCACGAAACCATCAGTCTCAGTGTTGAGTCCACAAGCAGCTGAGTCTAAACCTGGGTAGCTTACAACAACTTCCCGTTGAGTTTCCCTTGTATTTGCCAGCAGTTCTTTGAACGTCAAGGCAAAGCAATCACTACAAAAGACGTAAAGGTCAGCCCTTGTGAAGCTGAGAGGTCCCACCACATTTAAGTGTCTAATCAGCATCCCACTGAGGCATTTTTTCCCCCTCCAAACCTGCTTAAAGGCTCATCTAGATTGCGCAGGTGCCCCAGAACGCATCACTGTTCATGGTAAGGACCAGTCAATCAGAAGATCCATTGTATATATTCACGACTGGGATTCATCCCATTCCGGTTCCTCGCGGAAAGCGCATCTACTCTAAGGCTCTCGGTACAAGGGATTGGAAACCCAAAATTGCCCTTTTTCCGCATGGATTTGCATTATAATAAGGCCTCGGCCTAGCGTCTACTCAGAGTTACACTTCGAAACGCTACTCTATTGGACAGGGAAAGACATGGGGGCGGGTCTTTGGACAAACGAGACGTTAATCTACGAACTTGTGCATGTCACCATAGAGCCAACGTTGGGGCGGGAGCGCTGCATCGTTCAGGTGGCCGCATTCGTCATTGCACTTGCAGGACTGCACAAACATTATGGCCCTCTTGAAGCGCTCTCCGTCGGGGCAGGCGAAGAGCACGGGGGCCGTCCGCGTGCGCCGGGGCGAGCAGCATCGCCCGTCCAGGCACGTCCCGCAGTAGTTGGGCCTATAGAGACGTGTGCTGCGGCAGCCGGCGTAGCGCAGACGCAGAGGCTCGGGAGACTTCTGGGTACGAGAGCACTTCCTCCCCTTCTGTTAAAGAAAAATAGAAGGCTGTTTACACTCACATCTGCAATGGAAAACAAGTGTGCAGTGATAACTTCAGTTGGCTAAGGGACCGTTTACAGGACACCATTTTCAACTAAAAATGGGAAACTTTTTATGCGTTTTGGCTGTTGATTTTCATGACCGCGGCATTTTGGTGGCCTGAGAATGCAAACTTTTGAAAACGGGTTTCAAAGAGCAAGTTTTTGAAAGCAAATTTGCAAAAACGTTGTTGACATGCGCATTATGTGTTCCTTCAGTATGTGCACAGCCACACAGTGTTTCTTTACAAACTGACATCGCCAACTACTGGCCTGGCATGCATAATACAGCGCCTTTAGTCATTTTTCCCGTGTCCATGTGAACAGGGGTTGCTTTGACAATGTTGTCATGTAAACACCCTAAGTCACTTTAGCAGTGTGCACCATTAAAATTGATTCTTGATTATTATTATTTTTTTTTTAATTGTCTAAAATCATAAATTTACTAGAGAAGCAACACAGCATAAGATTTTAAGACTTTAGTCTTCATAGATTCAGTCTTTAATCTGAGTGTATTTAATCTCACTGCACTGGCAGATCTTTTCATGTTGGCAGATACGTGTTCTTGTTTTAATCATAAACTCACTTAATTCCAATAATTTTCTGAGACAACAAGACTTCTTATGTCATTATGTTCATTTTGCATCTCCAGTAAACATATGTTTATTTAAGAATGTTTAGACTTTTTTACTAGGAATACAAGATAAAAATACTGAGGAAGTAGAGCACTTTCTATAGTGAAAGTGTGCAAATTTAATTCAAATATCACATTGCATCATTCATGTTAACATGTTTACTCATGTTTCAAGTACTGCTAATGTGACTGTTGTTGTTTAAGCTACTTCCATATTCAGAATCATACCTAATAATAGTCAAAAAATAAGCAAGGCTTTAAATAATGTTAAAAATAGACATTTTGCTTGCACACTGGAAAACAATGTAAGAGCAACATTTCCATTGTGAAACTGTACTAGAAAGAGCCAAAGGCCAAAAGATGATTGCATGGTTTAGATTTATGGATTTCATTTAATTAATATTTTTATATTGGTTAGTACCAGTTGGTGCCTGTGCACCAACATAAACATGTTGTTTAAAAGCTGGTCCTTTTTGGTGAAGCAGGGAAGAATTCTTAAGCTATTTAAGCAAACATAAACTGGTCTTTTCAGCAGGATCTTGTGGTAATTGTGCAGATAATCTCTGATATGTTTACCTTTATAGGCACATTCACAGAACTACAGGGACGAATGTTGCAGAGTCTGGTTTCCTTCAGCAGCTTGCACTGCGCATTCTCATTGGTGACCCGAGATGAAACGCCCATCCCGCAGCTGCGCGAACAAGGCGTCCAGCTTGTCGTCTGCGCAACACATTGCTTGGCTTGCTTCCACGCTAGGAAGAGCGAGAGAGACGGGGTAAGTTAGTACACAGGCACCATTCACCCAACAGGGAACACTGACGCACAGAGAAAGTGATTATGGCGCGCAGGGAAACAGCTGCCTGACAGAGGCACCGTGTGTGGGGCTGGTTCACAAGGATCTCGTGGAAAAGAAGCAGTGGGCTCCTAAACACAGGCACCCACACAGAAGCACATGCAGGAGGAACCGCCACAGCTCATATTGGGACTGATTGTTATTTGAACCCGAAACTCAAGGGCAGCCAAAGGGGGCGTTTACACAGGACACATTCTTGCACTTCGCTGCACTATTTTTAATTGTTAGTTTATGTAAACATATGCTAAGCAGACGTCATTGATGGTAACGATGCATATCACAGCCTGAGACAAGGTTATTACAGTTAACTTAAACTAAAACTATAAAAAAACTCCTTAAAATTTTTTTTTTTTACTTTAAATAAAACTAAATATAAAACTAATTAAACTTATTTAACTTTAGCTATCTCATTCTCATTTAGTTTAGTATAGTAATAGTATTGCAATGAACCCCATGTTTGGTGCCATGTCAAGTTAAAAGAAGTTAAGGCAAGACTCCACAGGTAAATAGGGGGGAAATGTCACTAATAGATATAATCATACTTCCCTAGTTGATTAATCACAGTACATTAAAATAATTTTGTATTACAAGTTTTCTGAAAATGTATGTTTAAATAAGCCAGTAAATAAGCAGTTTCTACTTAAATATGCACTAATTTCCAGAAGATAAATCTGAACATTGGATAACGCCAGGTTCAAAATCCTTGTTTCATTTTGTTAACATATGTGACCCTGGAGCACAAAAGCAGTCTTAAGTCTCTGGGGTATATTTGTAGCAATAGCCAAAAAACATTGTATGGGTCAAAATTATTGACTTTTCTTTTATGCCAAAAATCATTAGGATATTAAGTAAAGATCATGTTCCATGAAGATATTTTGTAAATTTCCTACCGTAAATATATCAAAACTTAATTTTTGATTAGTAATATGCATTGCTAAGAACTTCATTTGGACAACTTTAAAGTCGATTTTCTCAATATTTAGATTTTTTTGCACCCTCAGATTCCGGATTTTCTAATAGTTGTATCTCAGCCAAATATTGTCCTAACAAACCATACATCAATGGAAAGCTTATTTATTCAGCTTTCATATAATGCATAAATCTCAATTTTGAAAAATTGACCCTTGTGACTGGTTTTGTGGTCCAGGGTCACATATTACAGTTAAAGGTTTTTACTGAGGGGATTTTTGATATCTCTTTTTATCACTCCAAAAATCAGAAAATACTGTCAACAGCCAGAAAGAAAAAAAAAGAAGTTTTCACTGTTTATGGAGTAAAATGCTGTGTAAATCAGTATGAATTATAAAATGAACAAACCCCTCAGTAAAAACCTTCAGAATAGAGACAAAAGCAATAAAAGTGTTAAGTATGATGAATGTAAGTGCTGCTGAAGTGGAGAAACAAACTCATTTAGAGAAAACAGCCTTTAAAGATTTGTATTGTAATGGAAATCTACAGACACAGATAGAGTGCAATAATAAAATCAAGCGAATAATGTATGAACAAATCATACAATAACAACCATCAGAATATAAATGGGAATAAATATGTTAAGTTTGGTGTATGTAAGTGCTGCTGAAGTGGAGAAAAAAACTCATAGCCTCTAAAGATATGCATTGGAATGGACATAGATAAAGTGTAACAAACACCTAAACGTGTATTTTAGATGTTTTCTTTCCACTAGTCTGAAAGAAGATGTGTTATGAAAGTGAAATAGCACAAAAATCTCAAATTTGGTTTTGCCTGTAGTGTCTTGCCTTAATCTTACATCTACATGCATATACATGCTGTTACACACTGAGTTAAGCTGCTTTGGAGCTTTTGACATGTGAAAAGTCTTTCTAGTGATACTTGTTGACCAAGAAGTCTAGTGCTAATTACGAAACATGTTGGGGAAACACAGGTAAACACACAGAACAGTGCCCTCACCTGGTAGGTGCTTTCGGCTACGCGGTTTGTCCCACTTTTTCTCCACCTCTATGAGTTCATTGCTCAGGGATTCTTTGGGCTTGTAGGGGAACGGCTTTGGTTGGGGCTTCTTGTAGGTGTGCAGGTCGGGGAACAGATACGGAGGCGGCTGCGGCCGTCTGAACACTGGCGGGAGGACGGAGGACTCGCTGTGACAGTCCACGCTGAGGCAGCACTGGCCCGGGATTTTGACCAGTCGAGGTGCGGGACAGGATGGCGATGCCAGAGGAATATCGGTGGGGCAGAGGGGCACGCAGCCCACCGCCCCGTCGATACAGGTGCACTGGTGTTTGCAGCCCGCGCGGAAGTTTTCTCCATTCTGATACATGCGGCCATTGTATTCGCAAGAGCGGCCTTCCAGTTTGGCTGAAAAGACAAAAGAAAGACAGGAGCAGGACTCAGCCATAGGGAACTGATGTTCAAATTATATTAAAAATTTTAGTTTTAGTTTAAGTTTTAGTAATTATGGGGTGTTTTTGTCAGTGTAAATAAAATGTTGTCCCAGCTAACAGGGAATTTTCTCAGAAAATTCTTCAAAGTTCTTCCGTAACGTTAATAGAACCTTCGTTCAAAACCATTAGCAGAAATACATTATTTATAAAACGGATAGTTCCGGTGCTTGATTCTGATTGGTTGAGCCGCGTTCGAAGCTGTTGTAAATTGCTCTACAAACATACACCTTTGTTTACTTCTGTGTGTTGCTCGGTAACCACTTTGTTGGAACCACAACTGTTTCTGAGGAACTACATTGTTTGGTGGAAGAATACTGTTTTTATTAATATCATTACACTTTATTTGCTCTGTTTTATTCTGTGAAACCTTACTACGTACAGTATATGGAATAACCGTTTTATAAAAGCAATAAGCCCCGTGAAGCCGTGGTTTACAGTGAATTTATAACAGCTAAGGGGCGTTGTTAGGAACTGTATAGTTCACATTACACATTGTTCATGAAATGTTTTTTTTTTTCTGAAACAATTTAGTTGGACTTTCAGCTAACATTTAAAAAAAAGTTACTACTTGTTTCAGAATGTTCAAAAAACATTCAAACGTAACATTCCCATAATGTTTTATAAAGCATTTAAAATGACTGTACATTTAGAATGTTTAGAGAACATTCAGAAATAACATTTTCATAACTTAATGGTATCGTAAGCAAATTGTTCATGAAACATATTTTTGTTAGCGAAGTCTCAGTCAGTATTTTGTCTTGTTTTCCAGTAAAAATATCGAAACATTCTTTAGATAAACTGATTCATTTGGACATCTTTTGAATGATTTGCATTGAATTATCCAGAAGACGACCTGCACAGAGTGACAGTAAGGGGTTAAACAGAGATTGACATTCTGTCCTTTGCTTTTATGAGAGAGGCTCTATGTTTAGGGCAGAGTGGAATTTTGACTTGTTTACAATGTCGCTGAGCGTCAGATAGTCTTTGGGTGTGTGAGATGCCCCCTAAAACCCCCCTTTAGTCCAACTCAAATAACTGCCTTAATATAGAAACTAGCCCAGTGCACAAAATATCCTCTGTATGTGAGGAAATGAATGTGTATGTCTTAATAAAGATAAAACCTGAAGCCCAGGGTGACCAAACTACATCAGTCCTCTTTGAAACCAAAGTTAGAACTACATTAAGCAGTTTGTCATTCAATTTATTATTTAAGACAATTATTTGAAGGTTTGGAAATTGAATTAATCCAAAACTTTCAATAAGTATGTATATTTTCAAAAAATATAATCATGAATTATAAATGTAATGACTAATTCTAGAATATAAAATTAGAATCGAGTGTTTTCATTATTTTTTTTTTACAATATATCCTATTGAAACAGGAAGTTTGGGTGGGACATCAAAGGTTTTGTACATTTCCGGTAGCCTTTGGTTTGTCATTAACCAAACAAAACTTACAAATGTAAATACATTTGCATTTACTCACACTCAAGTTGTTCCAAAGAGTTTATTATGTTGAACATAAAAAAAAATATGTGGGTAACCAAACCCATTCTTCAAAATATCTTCTTTTGTGTTCAGCAGAAGAAAGAAACTCATACAGGTTTGGAACATCATGAGGGTGAGTAAATGATGACAAGTTTCATTTTTGGGTGAACTATTCTTTTAAGTAAAAACTACTTGAATGTATTTTTTTATTTGGGTGATCTTAATAAAATGTGTCAGGATGGCTGACAGCTAGAAATTAAATCACCTGTTATGAAGTGAAAATGAACTGCATAATATTCCTAGATCTTTGGCTAATGTTCTGGGGTTGTGGCTAGAAGGGATACAGCAAAAACCGGAAGCTAACAATAAATAAATTTTTCTACCTATTAGATTGTGTTTTATTAACGTCTACACCTACCCCAACCCTAAACCTACCCCTTACAATAATGCCAAAACAGTAATTATTGTTGTACAGTGTAAGAAAAATTACGCTATATTGATGATTTTATAGATTTTAAATTAATTGATATAAGCATATATTATGACATTTAAATATGTATATATTCAATATTTTATTAATTTAATTCGTATTAGCATATATTGTGATATATACCAATGATATATGCTAATAAAAAGAAATGGGAATTTTAAAAAATCATATTTTATAAATTTTTCATTAATTTACACAAGCATATATATATATATACATACTCACACACACACACACACACTAGTGCAAATTAATTTAAATTTATAAAATTATTTTAAGAGACCCCAAAAATCTAAACTAGAGTTGTTTTGTTAACTCACCCCGGCAGATTCCATGGATACTGGCCACATCGTTGCCATAGTTACACTCCAGCCCCTTGTGATGGTCGCAGGGTTTGTCTTCATGGCAGTCGTCGTTTAGCTGGGCGGCACAAACCTTACAGCAGCCGCAGCCGTCGGGCACCGCACTGACGCCCGGTGTGCACACGGGCCGCTCCGCCGGACACTTACACACCTTAGGACACCTCGCTCGTACCTGCAGACCGGAGACAGACAGACAGATGTCAAAGAGATGGATAACAGAGTTCAGTTTAGGCTCGGTGCAACTTAATGTTGCCAGATAAAACCTCTGCATAAATAAAATGATCGTATCTGAATATTTAAAGGGATAGTTCACCCCAAAATAAAAATTCTGTCATCATTTACTCACACTCAAGTTGTTCCAAAGAGTTTATTATGTTGAACATAAAAAAAAATATGTGGGTAACCAAACCCATTCTTCAAAATATCTTCTTTTGTGTTCAGCAGAAGAAAGAAACTCATACAGGTTTGGAACATCATGAGGGTGAGTAAATGATGACAAGTTTCATTTTTGGGTGAACTATTCTTTTAAGTAAAAACTACTTGAATGTATTTTTTTATTTGGGTGATCTTAATAAAATGTGTCAGGATGGCTGACAGCTAGAAATTAAATCACCTGTTATGAAGTGAAAATGAACTGCATAATATTCCTAGATCTTTGGCTAATGTTCTGGGGTTGTGGCTAGAAGGGATACAGCAAAAACCGGAAGCTAACAATAAATAAATTTTTCTACCTATTAGATTGTGTTTTATTAACGTCTACACCTACCCCAACCCTAAACCTACCCCTTACAATAATGCCAAAACAGTAATTATTGTTGTACAGTGTAAGAAAAATTACGCTATATTGATGTGCGCATGCCCAGTAGTTTTTGCTGTATCCCTTCTAGCTTTAACCATGTTCTGGCAAGATTCTTGCAATGTCAATAGAATGTTCGTTCAGTGTTATCTGGTCTTTAATAATGTTCTGAAAACTTTAGCACAAAAACATTATATATTGTTCATGGAACGTTTTTCAAAAACATTTTAATTGGACTTTCATCTTATTTACTTGTTTCAGAACTTTTAGAGAACATTCAAAACTAATGTTCATATAAATGGAAAAATTGTAATAAAAAATATAAACTTACATCCGGATTTGGTACCAAGCTATACAAAATATTTTACAAAATAGTATTGAATCGTTAAAAAAAAACGATTTTATTTTTTAAAAACTGTAAATTTTGAACGTTCAGAAAACATTCAAACATTCAGAAAAGAGAAATAACATTTATAGATTAATAGGAATATTAACAGTGTTCTTAGAATGTTTGGAGAATATATGTTTTGAAAACGTTAAGGGAACATTCCATTTTATAACTTTCAAACATTATGAGAATGTTACTTTTGAAAGTTCTGTACACATTCCAAAACAAGTCAATAACATTAAAAAAATGTAAGACGAACATCCAACTAAAATGTTCTAGAAAAGAACATGACTTCCATGAATGAGGTATAACATTTTGATAACATTATTAAAGAGCAGATAACTTTGAAAGAACATTCTATTAACGTTGAGACAACCTTCCCAGAACGTTCTTAGGGCGTTCCCTGTTAGCAGCGATGAGACCAATTCATCTTCACTTCACAATTTAATTTCTCGCCTGGAAAGGAGTGTTTCGTCATTCCAAAGTTGTTTTTCCATTAAAGCCAACTTCCATTGGATCATTTCCGACAGCACTGCACCTGTTTCCCCGGCATCTCCATCGCTGTGTGAATACCCAGCCAAGCCCTCTGAGAATGACCACAGCGCCTGGCATCTTAAGCTCAGAGGAGTCTCTCGGGACCCATATGTGGATCTGAGCTCTGAGATCAAAGCATAACTCGGACCCTCCCTGACCGATTCTGGCCGGCGGGGTTAATGGAGGGCTGGATTGTTGTGCTTTGGTTTTTTTGAGCCTGTGCTTGTCTATTTCTGAACAGCAGAAGCCATGAGGATGGTCAGACTCTCTCAGGTGTGCAGATCATATATACATATATAATCATTTGTACAGTATTTAAAAAAATATACACATATTTAATCATTTATAAATAAAACAATTTTATTTACATATATTTATACACACAATTATTTATGCAACTATGCATAATTATATGAACGACTGATATGTTTCTGTCTGCATTTTATTAGGTTTCTTAATGAAACGCAATGAACTGTTGCTGTTTACACTGTTTACATACCTTTCTTGTGACTTACCGTCGTGCAGATGGTCAGTACAAGCACCAGCAGACACAATAAATCCCTCATCTTCATAATAAACCCTTCAGTGTCCACGGAAGATAATTTATGGAAACTGTAACCAGAACAAAGCACTTGAGCTCTCACAGACAAGCGGTAATAATCCAGCCAGGCGCGTTTATTCCAGCACGATAATGCCAGCCGTCGCTGATTCGAGCAGTGAAGTTTATAACTCTTGTTTTCATACCGCAGTCTTTATACGGGTGAACTGAGATTTCATCCGAAGCCCCGCCCCCTCGGATTCTAAATGGGCGTGGCTTTGACGTCGAGGCGGAGTTTGGGAGTTCGGGGGCGTGGTCAGCGATGAACGCAGTCATTCATAAAAACGACTTCATTCCAGAGAGGAGCTGCTGTCTGCTGCTTACTGACTTATATTTTAATAAAAATATTATGGATGCTTTAAAGTCTCTTTCACACGCATAGCTCTGTCCGCGGTGTGCTTTGTGCAAGGCTAGATAAATATATTCAGCTGTGTGATGTCTGCTAGATTAATAAAGCCACAGAAAACAAGCAGAGATTTCCTGCATCAAAAGACAGATGGAGAAATAGATCAGATGATTTCAACATATGTTCAATGTTTTCATCAGTTTGATCAATTTTCAAATTAAAAAGCTTTATTGGCATGATTATGTAATATTGGCAAAGCATTGTACACAGTAATGACTATAAATAAGTGCACAATTTACAAATAACAAATAAACAATAGCATTTGTATTAAATAAGGTGTCATGTAATGAAAAAAAAACAACAACAATGTTTTGAATGTGTTTCTCAGGTCAGGCCGTGTTTTCAGTCGTTTCCTCCGGAGTGGAAAAGCTCAGCATGACAAACTCGCTGCGCATGGAGGAGATGGATGGAGTGATGGGGAAAAAGGTGTGGGTGGAGGAGTGTGAGGACCAGATCAAACAGACTACCGTCTGTGGAAAAAGACCGAGAGACGGAGGCCGGAGGTTGAACGTAAGAACCAGAGGGAAAGACTGAGCAAAGGCACAAACACAGAGAGACAGAAGGAAAGGCATTCAGACTTCTGAAAGTCATTAACGGGAAAGAAAGAGTCTGAAACGCTTCCACACGGGTCGTGTAGTGTCAGTCATCACAAACACATCAAATACATTCAGCACCAAAATTATTTCACAAAGCTATTACTACTTACAAATGCTTGAAATAAATATTATGTAAATACATATGAATATTTATACAGTTGTTTATAAGTGCACAATTGTACATAAGACTTATGCTGTATAAATGTATGCATGTTGTTATTTTAATTCTACCTACATCATTTTCTGTATGTATATTACCGGTACTTTGTTTTATTTTAATTCTACTTAATTTTTTGAGATGTTCAATACTTTTTATTTAATTCTCCTTATTTAATGTTTCAAGATATATATTAAATTAAGTTTTTTATTCTTATTTTTTTTTAGAGATGTTTATTACTTAGGAAAACATCTGTGTGCTGGAGCTTTAAATTCTCCTTATTTAATGTTTCAAGATATATATTAAATTAAGTTTTTTATTCTTATTTTTTTTAGAGATGTTTATTACTTAGGAAAACATCTGTGTGCTGGAGCTTTAAAGAAGCAAAACACTGACGATCCGAGGAGTCTGAGGTTTATCACACATCCGTATCACAGCTCAAGATCCCCATGAAGCCAAATATTGTTGTAATATGAAGAGGGCTCTCCTGACCGTAAAGAGCCACCGAGGAGCCTTTATTTCGGAGGTTGTGTAACACACTGCTGGACCGTCTTGCTCCACACCAGCAGAGACGGACCGAGATAAAGAGAGAGAGGAATTTTAGTCTCTGGGTTATTTTGAACCCAGAACAGGAACGGCTGTGTTGACTCCCCAAACACACACCTGACACCGCCGGAAACAGAGCTTTTGCGGAGACAGTCACATGACCTGTGAGGCTCTGATGATTGTCATCACGACTCCATTCAGGGGTCACTGACAAATAAGAAGGTCCGAGATGAAGCAAAAGAAAATGATTGTGTTAAAACACATCTGCCACGTCATTGCAATCTTTGTGATCCTGGTGGTTTTATAATAAAAAAAAAGACAATTATTTAAAGACACAAAAGGTGCAAATATTTATTTAGATATTATTTTTGCTACTACAAACAAATATAGTTTCCTCACATCTTGAATATATGTGCACGTTAATTATTTTCACATTTAGTATTTTAGTCATTTTTAATCATGAAAATCATGTCACAATGTAAAAAATCTGATATTATTAGGTGTTTTTGTGACCTTGATGAAGAAAATGAAAACATCTTTTGAAATGAAATTCTCCTGGTAAAACACATCGGCCATGTTATTTAATCTTTATGTTCATGATGCTTTTATACAGTTATATATATATATATATATATATGTGTGTGTGTGTGTGTGTGTGTGTGTGTTAGAAAACGTTAGAATGATGCAAGCATGATTTAGGAAGCTAATGAAGCTTGTCTATCGCTACAGGTCATAGTGAGCAGAACCACTGCTGTCTTTTACTTCTTTTTTTTCACACCCTACACCCTCAGTAGTGACCGATCACTCCCTCCCTCACTGCATCGATTTTACCGCGTTACACAAACACATACACATACACATACACATACACACACACACTCACTCACTCACTCACTCACTCACACACTCTCACACACACATATATACACCCACACACACATACATACACACCCACACACTCACTCACACACTCTCACACACACACACTTGATGGTGTCAAAGAGAGCCGCCTTGTTCTGCCTCCTTCCCGTCTTTCCACCGGTAGCCCGCAAAAATTCCAGAAATCCCTGTTATTTCCGCACTTGTGTTTGTTTGGCAGGCGTAAACACATGAAACGCCTCAGAACTGAAGCCGTGTGTTCGGCGCACAGACCTCGCCTCTGTTCACACACTCACCGCGCCACAGCGCCATCTATGGGAGGACAATTATGACAAATGTATTCGAAACAAAGGGCAAAAATGCATTGCATTAACAGGGATTGCATTTCAATGCATTGTATTATCAGGGATTTCATTTGTAGGGGCTGAAATTCAACATGGTTGTATATTTAAGCTGTGGATATTTCAATTAAAATTATTTCACACACATTTTCATTATTAAATATTCATGAACTCATATTCACCTTCCAAAATATTCAGTCTGTTTAAAAATACAGCCTATAATAGTTTTAGTCCGTTTTATTTTGCTTTACATTGAACATCTTATTCTTCTTCTGTTTTTATTGGCGGGAGGAAACTAACAATTAAGGTGCATATCCGCCACCTGCTGTACTGGAGTGTGGGCCAAACAGTGCTATCTTTAACCCCCCTTTATTATACTTTATTGATCTGCTCTTTTTAGTATATTCTTAAGGTTCAACACACTCACCCCATATTTCTTTAACTCATCTTTTAACCTTAACATTGAACATCCAGGAACTGCAGGTGTAGCAGTAGAGTAGCCTACCGGTGCATGATCTCCATCTGCTGTCAGTTGCTCACCAGCAAGCGGGTGTTGAAGAAGCCCACCAGGTCAAGTCAAGTCAAGTTTATTTGTACAGCGCTTTTCACGATACAAATCATTGCAAA